CGGCGATTCTTCTTCGGGCCCGCATCTGCCAGCTTCGCGTTGCGTCGTGTAGGCAGTCTCCTCAAGATCTTTATGATAGCAGTGTTCTTGGCCCCCGCGCGCGGGTGCGTGGCCGACCCCCTCGGCTTCGGCCTGGAGGGCTGCGTTGTCACGGGGGGCTCCCACCTGTCGGCCAGGCGCGGCTCGCTCGGCTTCCGGCGGGCCCGAACAGGGGCAGTGACCGCGCGTGGGACCTCGCGGCGACGGGGGCGCGCATCTCATTCGACTTTGTTGCCGCGTCCATTCCCAGAAACGGCGGGCGCGAACGAGGCGGAGAGATGGGCGGCGGAGTTGCAGCGCATGGCAGACTGCCCCAAGCGATCTCCAAGGAAGTCGTTGCACGTTGCTTTATTTGTCCCTTCGGCAGGTGTCTTGAAGCTCGCCGCCTCGACCTAGAGGCGTTCGTCTTGTTGCCCTTGGTGGGCGCCGCTGTTGGCGTGGGAACTCGAGGCAGCCTGGAAACCGACAACATATCCCTAGCGAGCAGTTGGTTACTTTCGCCAGCAAGCTTGAGAACTAGCCCGCAATGGGTTCGCCACGGGGCGTCGACACCTGCGCTGAGGCCCCTAGCGTGCCCTTGTGAGGCCTTACTGAGAACCAAAAAGTCGATGTGCGAAACTCCCGATCCTGTGACGCACGTGTTCTCAACATCTGATTGGCGAATGACTATCAATCAGATAGAGCAAGAAGTTGCTAGCTAACTTCTGAGGACTTGAATTGAAGTTCCCTTGCGTGTCCCAGGGTATTGTGATGGCCCCCGGCCAGTGCCGCCGATCTGGGGGGCTCCGGATTCGGTGATTTTGGAGTCGTCGGGGTCGCTGTTTGGGAGGGGGGGCGCTCTTGGGGTCGTCAGGGACGCTTTTTGGAGCTGACGTGCCCTCTGGGGAGTTGCCGAGAGCGGTCCCGGGAGGGTCCAGGGAGTGTTCCGAGGGGAGGGTCCTTGGGGCGGTAGCGGTTAGATCAGAAAGGGGTTTTTGGGACCCCCCGAAACATCTTGGGGATGCGAAAAGCATTAAGAAAACGCCAAATGGCGGAACGCCCCCCCCCCTCCCCCCCTTTCCCGGGGGGGGCCCTGAGAGGGTTCCGAGGGGAGAGTCCTGGGGGGGGGGGGTCCCTGGTACTCCCCGAAACATTTTGGGGATGCGCAAATCATCAAGAAAACGCTAGATGGAGGACCCCCCACCCTCCCCCCCTTCCCCGGCAGAGCCAGCCTGGCGACCCCCCCCAGCAGAGCTGAAACTCTTGCTTAGGCTCAGAGCTGAAGCTCTTGCTGAGGCTCCTTGTAGTTCACACGCCGGGTCGGCGGTTTTTGATAGCAGAAAACCCCAAGATGCATAGGAGGAGGTGGAGCAGAAGGTGGGAACGTGCAGGAGCAGGAGGAGGAGGGCGAGGAATTGGAGCAGGTGGAAAAGAAGGAGAGGGAGGAGGAGGCGAAGAGGAAGCGCCCGAAAAGGCGGATGAGAAGCACGAGGTGGATAAGACGAGCATGCTGATGGTGGTGATGATAGTGGTGGTGGTGCTGCTGCTGCTGCTACTGATGATGACGATGCTGATGCCGATGATGGTGATGATGGTGATGATGGTGATGCTGAGGCTGTTATGGACGATAATGCTGCTGCTGATGATGGTGGGGATGATGATGCTGCTGATGATGATGCTGCTCATGCTGATGATGATGCTGCTACTGATGACGATGTCGGTGATGATGACAATGATGACAATACTG